GGAGGGGACTAAATGGAGTCAGATGGGCTAGGGGTGGAGGCTGTGTGTGAATATTGTTCTGTTCTTCTGTGAATACTGCCTCCCATCCTTCTATTCCTTTGTTGTTCAGTGTTCTAGAATATACTCTGAGCCAAAATGCTGAGAACTGTCCCGAGAGAACAGCAGCTCACCCCAGAGCCTTGTCCCTGAACTTCCTATAGCCAAGATTGTATTTCCTTGAGACCCCAAAACCTAGCAGAGCCCAATCTGCCCTGTGATCTCAATGCTCAGGGAAGGTGGGATTTATTCCCAGCAGGGAGTGGCAGTCTGCTCTAGGGGCAGGAAAAGGTCCACCTGAGTGATGACTGGGGAGGGCCCAGACCTGTCATCACTAGTGTCACCAGTCAGGTGTCTGATGAAGGAATACATGTTATCTCAGGGGTTCATATTCTGCTCTGCAGGAGGAGGTGACCTGTGTGTCCTAGGAAGAGGACCCTGTGCTCCAGCTTTCTATGTAGGCCACCAGGGAGACTCCTCCATCCCCAGCTTCTTTTGCTGGCTGAATGTGATTCAGGTCTGCCCATGCCCTCCTCGACCTTCTGAATTGCCTTTGCTCTCCTTGGTGATTGCCCTGAGATCTTCCTGTCTTTCCTCATGGATGATGAGAGGAGGGAGGGGACCACATAGGGTTTCCTTGTAGAGTGGGGGTCTTGGAGACACAGGAAATGATTATGTGACGGAGCTCCAGGTCTGTTGGAACTGGGATGGAAACAAGGCTTCAAGATAGGTTGTCACCTCAAGGAGAGTTTTCCCTGTTGAATATGTGGTTTATTGTCGCCCCCTGTTGTTCTTGAGGAGACCTGCAGCTCATGTTTGGGCTATTGCAAGGATGGTACCCAAGCTGCAATTGCTGGAATGAAGCTGAGTAGCAAGTTTCCCAGGAAGGTCCCAGTGAGCAGCAGCCTTTGAAGATCTATGGAGATTTTTGCTGGAGACCATAATAGCTGAGGTGAGATTCACTGCGATTTTGATGTACAGTTCCAGAAAGACTGATGATGTTGAGCCCCCTTTCCATGTGTTTTTATTAGATTTTTTTTTTTTGTATATCTTGTTCAGGGCGGGAATATCCAAGTCCTTTGCTAGCTCTAAAATCGTTTTATTATGACTTTAAATTTTAAAGCAAAGTACATTCATTCACTAACAATAAGACATTCTAGACTTACAACTTAAAACGAAAACCAAACCAAGCACTGCAAACTTTTTTGTTATTATTTTTTTCTTTTATTTTACATACCAACCACAGTTTCCCCTCCTTCCTCACTTCCAATTCCCTCCCCCACCTCCCATCCTCCCTCCCATCCGTCCTCTCCTCTTCCATTCAGAAATGGACAGGACTCCCATGGCAATGAACAAAGCATCACATGTCAAGTTGAGGTAGGACTTAGTTCCTCCCCCATGCTTCAAGGCTTCACAAGGCTTCCTAGCATGGGGAATTTGTTCTGAAGAGCCAGCTGAAGCACCGGGAACACCTGATCCCACTGTTACAGGCATCACAAACAGACAGAGCTACACAACTGTCACCCACATGCAGAGGGCCTAGGTTGGTCCCATGACAGCCCCCTAGCGATTGGTCCAGAGTCTGTGAGATCCCACTAGCTTGTTTCAGTTGTCTCTGTGGGTTTTCACATCATGATCTTGACCTCCCCTGCTCATACAATTCCTCCTCCCTCTCTTCAACTGGACTCCTGGAGCTTGGCTCAGCCCTTTGACTGTGGATCTCTGCATCTCTTTCCATCATTTATTAGATGCAGGCTCTCTGATGACAACTAGGGTAGTCACCACTCTGATTACAGGAGAAGGCCAGTTCAGGCTCCCTCTCCACTATTACTTGTGTTTTAGCTGGGGTCATCATTGTGGATTCCTGGAAGTTTCCTTTGCACCAGGTTTCTCTCTATCCCCCATATGGCCCCTTTATCAAGATATCTCTTTCATTACTCTACCCCTCCATCCCATCCCAGCTGAACCAATCTGATCACTCATTCTCCCATCCCTCCACCCCTTTCCTTCTTTCCCACCGCCCCCACTCCCAGTTTGCCCAGGAGATCTCATATATTTCCCCTTCCCAAGGAAATCCATGTGCCCCTCTTATGATCCTTTTTGTTACCTAGCTTCTCTGGGCCTGTGGATAACAACCTGATTATCCTGTGCTTTAAATCTAATATCCACTTATGAGTAAATAAATACCATGTTTGTGTTTGAGGGTCTGGGTTACCACACTCAGGATGATTTTTTTCTAGTTCCATTCATTTGCCTGCAAGTTTCATGATGCCATTCTTTATTATTGTTGAGCACTTTTTGTGTAAATGTACCACATTTTCTTTATCCATTCTTTGGTTGAGGAGCATCAAGGTTGTTTCCAGGTTATGGCTATCACAAAAAATAATGCTTCTATGAACATAGTTGAGCAAGTGTGTTGTGTTGATTGAGCTTCCTTTGGGTATATGTCCAAAATTGGTATCTCTGGGTATTCAGGTAGATTGATTCCCATGTTTCTGAGAAACCCTCATACTGATTTCCAAAGTGG